AATATAAAAAAATTCTCTCTCTGTCTCTCTCTCTTTAAAAAAAAAAAAAGATATGGCTGTCTCCCTCTCCCTCCTCTCCAACTCCAAGAATCAAAACATAATAAAACAAAAAATCCAACTAATCCTGTATGACTTCATTATCTGAGTTTGTAGATTAGTCCCAGCTTCCAAGATCCCTGACTGGGTGATGTGTAAACCACCAGGCAATTCTTCCAAGGCTGTGGAGTGAAGGTGAATATAAGTGGAACTGACACTGTGTACTGATTGAAGGGCTTATATCCACCAGAAGATGCAGGTTTATTATGATGTCACTTGTATGCATTTGTATTGCCAACTGTTCTATGCCAAGCCATGTATTGCTCAGCAAGGATACACAAATGAGAATATATCCTCAATCTCTCAGGAAGGCAAGTGTTGGTTTAGAGGTAGGCACACGGAGGCTGTGGGTACCTGAGAGAAAGGATATCTCACCATCCTGGGAATTATTTGTGGGGTAGAGTTGCTAGATTTAGCAAAAAATACAAAGTGCTCATTAATTTGAATTTCAGATAAATAACAAATATTTTTAAGCACATGTATGTTCCAAATATTGAACAAAATACTCACACTAAAAAGGGTATTAATAGTTCACCTGAAATTCAAATTTAGTTATTGAACATCCTGTATCTGATCTGGTAACATCATTGTGGGGGTATTAAGTCATGTATTATTATTGGAAAGTACAGTGTTATACAGATTGAAGTTATTCAGCAGCCGTCAGATTATAATGAGCCTTAAAAATGAGGCTAGGAGAGTCCACTGAAGGAGTTAAAGCAAAGAGGCAGGGTTAATATTAACTGGGGGTTATGACATAATGCTAGATGTTGCTGGTTCTGGTGTCCTTGCCATGCCCCTTGGCTCAACTCTGGCCCTCAGGTTCCCATGAGAAGAGTATCCAAACTGATAAGAATCCAATGTGTATAAAAGTTGGATTGTTCTATTTCCTATTTCCTCTGCCTCCTCCTCCTCCTCCTCCTCCTCCTTCTTCTTGTATTGGGGATTACACCTAGGGGTGCTTTACTGAGGAGATAACCTTTATTTTTATTTTGAGACAGTCTCACTAAGTTCCTGAGACTGGCCTTAAACTTGTGATCCTCCTGCCTCAGCCTCCCAAGTTGCTGGAATTACAGGCATGCACCACTGCACTCAGTTCTGTTTCCTATTTTCTGATCAACTTGAGGCAGAGATACATACAATAAAGAGGGAGGATACTCAACGGCACAAATCTCCAAGAGAATGGGAAGTGCTGGGATACAGCCCAGTGGAAAGAGTGAGCCCCAAACAAGACCTCTCTTCTCTGAGATCCAAGGAATAGATGGTGTGGGTAAGGGTAATTTTGGAAGTGACAAGAAAGGAAGCATTAACCTAATGGCTTCCATTTTCTCTAAATACACTTCTTAAGCCAGAGCCCACAGGCCTCTGGGGGGTCAATGGACAGAATTCAAGGAGCCCATAAATTTGGATGGGGGGTTGTTGCATCTTTATTTTCACTATCATTAACAGAAATTAAGCATATCCTTGGGGCTAGGATTGTGGCTCAGAGGTAGAGTGCTCGCCTAGCATGGGCAGGACCCAGGTTCGATTCTCAGCACCACATAAAAATAAAGGCATTATGTTGTGTCCATCTACAAAAAAAGATATTCTCTCTCTCTCTCTCTTAAAAAATAAATTAAGCATGTCCTTCTAGGCAGTGCTGATAAACTACAGTAATACCAACAGTACCTGTGACTTTGTCACCAACAGAAATCAGATTTTCATAGCACATTACAATTGTTGCATAGTTCTCAAAATAATATCACCATTTTCAAAGTCATAGTAGCCATTAGACCTGGTGATAGAGCTTGTTATTTAATGTGTTAATAAATGCATACATACACTACTAACATTACAGATGTTCTTCTTGTTGTTTTAGTACTTGTGTTTCAATATAATTGGTTTCTTTCACAATTCTATTTGTCTTATGAAATACATGCATTATTCTGGGAAGGGGTTCCTTAGACTTCACCAGACTTCCAGTGGTGTCCACAGCATAAGAAGAGCTAAGAAACACATTCTGAAGAATAACAGGAGCTGGCACTTACATAGCTCTTGCTACCGGACCAGGGCTGTTCTAAATCCTCCTTTTTTCTTACATAGTTGTCAACTCACTTAATCTCCAATCACCGTACATGGTAACTACTTTGATTATACTCATTTTAAAGAGGAAAATGAGGTATAGCAGTCAACTAACTTGTCCAAGGCCATTCAGTAGGTAAATGATGAAGCTGAGATTCAAACCCAGATGTTCCAGTTCCCAAGTCTATGCTGAAAATCAGAGTTGAATTGGCATAATGCCAAGAGACAAATGGGTCAAAGGTGCTGGTGAGAATGGGTAAAGGGAGAGGAGGAATGGGAGCAGGTCTACACTGACCAAAAGAAAAGTAGAAAGAGACTGGCCAAGATGAAAGAAAATGGAAAGGCCCACAAAACAAAAAGGTTTGAGGAGACAAAAGAAGTGGTGGAAGAGAGATCTGAGGCTCAGAGAAAATGGTCAGAGTGAGAGAAGGTGGTGTGTAGGTGTCAAGGAGGTACATGGGATGACAAGGCAATAATGTGACCTGGACAGGTAGGTGGTTAAAGTGGAGAGGAAGTAAAGATCCCTGGGATTGAGCAGATGAAGAGATCTTAAAACTACTCCTACAAATTCTCCTAAGCCTCACTCTTTCATTCATTTAACATGTTCCGCTTTTAGCAGGGGAAGAACTACAAAAATAAGGCCACCTTAGACAAGAGTACAGGTTCACAAGCCTTCAGGCACAATTCCACAATGTTCAATCCTCAGTACCAAAGTTCTGAAAACCATATGGTTATTTTTTCACACGTGGGAGTCCAAACTCATTAGGGGACAAAACCTGACCTGAAGTAGAGTGAGGCTATTTGTAGACTTTATTCACACAATGTGAATTTTCATAACTTTCATTTTAGATATTTTAATGTTTAATTAGCATGCTCCAGACCTTTTTCAGTAGTTATATAATATAGAGTATATGCAGTATAAAGAGTTTTGTAATATAAACTGTATGTCTTCCTTTCTACAATTGAAAAAAAAATCTGAATTCCAAAATATATCTAGCCCCAGGGTTAGAAAAAGGATTATGAATGATCTATAAGTTTTATATAAAGAATTTAAATACGCAATGGGACAGTGACTGTTTACACCTTGTGTGGTCAGGGAGTGCCCCTCTGGAAGTGATATTTAAATTTAATTCTGAATGTCAACAAAAGGCAGGAATGTGGACTACAATTATAGCTCAGTGGTAGAGTGTTTGCCTAGCACATGTGAGGAATTGGGTTCAATCCTCAGTACCACATAAAAAATAAGTAAAATAAAGATATTGCATCCATCTACAACTAATTTTTTTAAAAGGCAGGAGGAATTCAAAGATCAGGAGGAAAGCATTTCAAGCAGAGGAAACAGCTAATTCAAAGATGAACAAAAAGTAGGCCCCTGTTATTGAAGCATATTGGGTCAGCAAAGAGTGCTATCAATTGATGGGAGCCCTTAATGTAGACAGAAAGATTGTGAGTATGGTGGTATAACTTTGATGAATATGATGTAGTGAACATGAGTCTGGTAGTCATCAGCAACTAGGAGGCCCAGAGAGAACTCTTCCTGGGTGGCAAAGCAGATGGGAAGATACTTCAGATAGAGAAAACATAAAGGAATTCTGAAGATGAAAACGCAGGTTTCGGGGCTGGGACTGTAGCTCAGTGGTAGAGCACTTGCCTTGCATGTGTGAAGTACTGGGTTCAATCCTCAGCACCACATAAAAATAAATAAATAAATAAAGATATTGTACCAACTACAACTAAAAAAAAAAAAAAAAGAAAGAAAGAAAACGTAGGTTTAGATTTATTGCCCGAAGACCTTGAATTGGGGAAAGTATAGAAAGAAGACTGGGCTCAAGATTCTAATTGGGCATAGGCCTGTAATTCCAGTGACTTTGGAGGCTGAGGCAGAAGGATTGCAAAGCCATCCTCAGCAACTTAGTGAGGCCCTAAGTAACTTAGTGAAAACCTGACTCAAAATTTTAAAAAAGGGGTGGGATGGGGATATGGCTTAGTGGTAAAGTGCCTCTGGGTTCAATCTCCAGTACAAAAAAAAAAAAAAAAAACTGGGTCTTACATAATGGTTTCAGGTTAAGGTGAAATTGACAATGTTTGATCTGAGCTTTTGGACTTCTCTGTGTTTGTGCCTCTCAACAGCATCTGTATCAAAATGAATGTCTGCCTCCTAGCATTTCTGCCTCTTAGTGTCTCTCCACATTCATATCTCTGTGATATTGTCTGGCATCTCTATTTCTGCCTCAACATATTTTTCTCTTTGGTACCTCTTCATTTCAGAATCTCCATTCTTGGGTCTGTGTTCTGGAATCCAGTTCTTGGGCTAAGAATGTATCTCAGTGGTGGAGTGCATTGTTTGATCCCCAGCACCACAAAAAAATAAATTCTTTGTCCCTTCTGTTCTCTGCACTTCCTCCAACTGTACTGGGGATTGAACCCAGGGGCACTTAACCACTGAACCACATCCCGAGCCGTTTTTTATATTTTATTTAGACCCAGGGTCCTGCTTAGTTGCTTAGGACCTCGCTAAATTGCTGAGGCTGGCTTTAACTCACAATCTTCCTGCCTCAGCCTCTGGAGCTGCTGGAATTGCAGGCTTGCACCACTGCACCCATCTCTCCAACTGTACTTAATAATTATCTTTCTCCAGCTGGATTGTGCCCTCTTAGAAGGCATAAACCTTTTATTATTCGAGTATCCCCAGTGCCTGGGGATCTCAAATTTTTTTCCGAGAAGGGGACTCCCTTTCAATCTCCACCCTTCATCTCCCCCAGGGAGCTGGCCACCTGCCAAATGGCCAGCTAGAGAGCAGGACAAAAGGAATGAGCTGCTGCTTTGGGGTTCTATTTCCTGGGGAGATAAGTCTCCACAAACATCACACTAGGACTTTCTCGGAAGAAGCAGGGTACGCCCCTACGTCCTCCGCGGCGGTCGTTCCACCCTGCAGGCACCACCTCCACCTCAGCCAATCAGCGAGCGCCTGTGCTAAAGGGACGAGCCTCCAGTGGTGAAGCGGACGCAAGATGGCTGCGGCGTGTCGGACCCTGAAGGTAAACCACCCTTTGCCTCGCTTTGCAGGCTGAGACGGCATGGCCAGGAACTAGGAAAAAAGGGCCATGCTTATGTGGGCGGGGTATTGCGGTGGCGGTTGGGCTCAGTAAAGGGAAAGTCCGCTGCATATGTAATATGTGGGGTCACTGAACTATTTGGGGAATGAAACCCCTCGCCCCCCTGCCCTCCCTCAGATCTCATCAGTGAGGAGAGGAAGCACACCTGGGCCACCTCCCGCCCCCACCCACTTCCCCTCAGAAGCCTGTACAACCCGCGTGTGAAAGGATGGAGAGGGTAGTTGCTGACGGTGTCCCTTTTCAGGGCTTAGTCGCGGTAATAACTGGAGGAGCCTCGGGTCTTGGTCTGGCTACCGCGGAGCGACTGGTGACTCAAGGGGCTACTGCTGTGCTTCTGGACCTGCCCAACTCAGGTGGTGAGGCCCAGGCCAAGAAGTTAGGAAAGAGCTGCGTGTTCGCCCCAACAGATGTGAGTGGTTTCAACTTTCCCAGGGTGTCCTTGAGACCACTACCACCTACCTGGGAACACATGGGGGTCCCTCCCATAAAGTTGTTATCTATGGGATAACAACTTGTCCCTTTTGGCCTAAGCCTTCAAGCACTATAGCACTACCTACCGTAAAGACCCCAAAACTGCACCACAGCCTCAGAAATTGGACTTATCAGAATTGCTTGAAGGGAGGATTGCATAATTTGAAAATGCATATTGTATCTTAATGGTTTTACATTTACAAAGTTGAAAAACTATTTTCATGAAATCTTCTTAGTAGGTGGGGATACAAAAAAAAAGCTCATTTATGTTCCTATCAAAAGTTTTCAAAACAGGGTTGTATTAATTCTTTGCTCCATAGCAATCGAGAATCACCAGGGATATGTGAATTTATCAAAAGATTGTATAAGTTTGAAAGGTATTTTGCAACACTGCTTTATAGTACCTGACATATACACCTTCACCCCACTCTCCTCACGTTTTACTATAACACTTTCTCTTCATCTGTCTTTTTTAAAAATAATTTTTAGTTGTCAGTGGACCTTTATTTTTCTAATTTATTTATATGCAGTGCTGAGAATTGAACCCAGTGCCTCACACATACTAGGCAAGCACTCTACCACTGAGCCACAATCCCAGCCCCTCTTCATCTGTCTTTTGCTCACACAATTCTGTTCCCACCCAAGGACTGGGCCTCCTCCCCCAGGTTTAGTAGTGACATGATGTGCTGGCAAATGAATACCTTTTCTACGTTTCTCCCTTTGAAGGTGACCTCTGAGAAGGATGTGCAATTGGCCCTGACTCTAGCAAAGGAGAAGTTTGGCCGGGTGGATGTGGCTGTGAATTGTGCAGGTATTGCAGTGGCCATTAAGACATACAACTTAAAGAAGAACCAGGCCCATACCTTGGAGGACTTCCAGCGAGTTATCAATGTAAGACCTTGGAGGTTCTCCAGGAGTGGGAATGAACTCTCTGGGAGTGGTTATCCCCAAAGTTGTTAGTGATCAAATGGTTGCCTCTTCCTGAGGTCCTACACCATGTCTCTGCTCATTTTCCAGGTGAATCTTATGGGTACCTTCAATGTGATCCGTCTGGTTGCTGGTGAGATGAGCCAGAATGAACCAGACCAGGGAGGCCAACGTGGGGTTATTATCAACACTGCCAGTGTGGCTGCCTTTGAGGGCCAGGTGTGTGATCAGGGGCAAAGTTTGTGCCTCCTCTTGACTTGTTGGGCTCTCTCACCCTTGACCTCTACTCTTTTTCTAGGTGGGACAAGCTGCATATTCTGCGTCCAAAGGGGGCATAGTGGGCATGACATTGCCCATTGCTCGGGATCTGGCTCCAATAGGCATCCGGGTGATGACCATTGCTCCAGGTAGACATATTCTCTCTTCCTGCCATACCTGGGATTGGGTGGGATCCATGGGCACTTGTGAGGGGCAGGTATCCACTATCTAAGTAACAGTAGCCTTCCATCTCTAGGCCCTAGAGAGGCACAAGAAGTAGGCCTAAGGTGAAGAAGAACTGAGTAAATATGAAAACAAGGGTGGGTCTCTGACTCTGACTATCTTGTCTAGGCCTATTTGGCACCCCACTGCTGACCAGCCTTCCAGAGAAGGTACGCAACTTCCTGGCCAGCCAAGTGCCCTTCCCCAGCCGACTGGGCGACCCTGCTGAGTATGCTCATCTAGTACAGACCATAATAGAGAACCCATTCCTCAATGGAGAGGTCATCCGGCTGGATGGGGCCATCCGCATGCAGCCTTGAAGGGAGAAGTCTGGGAAAACAAAGGCTCCTGTGCCCCACCTCCTCCTGGGGTACTACTAACTTTGTCTACCAGTCATCCTCTGTGCCTAATAAACTATTTTCTTACTTTGTGGGCAGTGCTTTGTGCTGGGGGAACTGGCATGGGGAAGAAAGGTAAAGGCTTTGATAGGGTTGGATATATAGAGTCCCAAGCAAGGTAGGATAGGAAAGGCAGTACCTCACATTTTTGTGTGTCCTGTTACAACAATACATGGCCTTGAATTTAGCGAATAACTTTATTACTTAGGGTAGAAGGTGGGGATATTGTCTTAGCTCTCTCATTGGGGAATGGATTAGAGGTAAGAGGTGGGGGTATGTAGCATTTGCATCTGTAAGCTTGATAGGAGAGAAGAGAGAGATGACCATCTTGACCTCAGAAGCTGTGATACTGGGCTGTAGGTTGATTGGTGTAGATTATTGAATTCAGATAATTTTGCCTGTTAAAAAAAAAAAGTCCAGAGGCCTCACTTGATGTTTTCCCTCTCCCTGGTCCTCACCATCCTTCCCTACCCTCCCATGGTATTCATCCCCACTGCCACTCCCTAGAACTCACTGGGCTTTTTGCTCCTTAGCCAACTGCTGGTTGAAAGAACCCAGCCCCCTCCGAAATTCTGCACACAATTCTCTCTCCTGCTCTTCTAGCTCCTGCACTGCCTGGGCCAGGTGCATGGTTTGGCTTTCCCATTCAGTATCCAATGCTTGCTCAGCCTGGTGCTGTGCCTCCTTCTCATGGCACTGTGCTTCCTGGACTTTCCTGATGGCGGCTCGCTGCTGTGGAGTCATGCCCTTCCAGCAATGGGGCAGAACCCGGTGGGGAGCCATGGAATTCTGGGCAACTTGGGGGTTCTCAGTTAGAAAGTCACTGGTGACCTGGTTCTGAATCTTCATGAGGTTGGCCTCCTGTTGGCGCTGATGCTCAAGGCGCTGCCGCTCAGCCAGCTCAGCTGCCTGGTGGGCAAATATAAGTATTTGGGTGCCTAACCTCAGAGAACTCTCAGTTCCAAGGGTGGGAGAAACGTGGCCCTATTTCTCCATCTCAGGGAGAGAAAGAAAAGACACTACATGATTTTAATTATCCTAAGGATAGGCGGTGGAATGGACAGGGAACTTCTCTGCACTCAGGATTAGAGGGCAATAATCTGTTCTTAAATCATTTTGTGTTTGGAGATAGGGAGAGGTGACTTGTATTCTAAGAAGCACCTTAGATGGAAGGGGTGTCCTCAGGCTGATGACAATTCTGGAACTGATTTGAGAAAGGATATGAGGGGAAGGGTGTGGCTAAGGTTCCCCAGGATTTTGTTCAGGGGGTTGGGAGGACCAGGTGCACTGGAGGGGTCAAGCCATACCTGGGCTTTGTTGGCATTGGCCATGGCAAACATCATGGCCACGCGACAGGACTCCTCTACCCTGGCCAGGTGGGCAGCCCGCATGTCCATGGCTAAGTGCAGCTGGTCATTGAGCATATCTACATGGAGAAATACAACTTCCTCCATTCCTGGTTCATTCATTCAGCCATTTAGTCAACAAATTTTATGTAGGTATATGTATACTTGGGAGGGAATTAGTGTCCAAGTTGTAGAGATGTGGAAGGGGTTACTCTTTGGGGCTAGGGATAGCCAAAGTGCAGCAACCTGGGTCAAAGTGCAGCTCTGCCACCTCTGAAATGTGTAGTCTTGGGTAAACCATTTCACCTCCAAGCCTCACTATAAGATCCATGTATTAGATTCTAAGCATACCACAGAATTAGATCCTGCCCCCCCATCTAGTGGGGGACACAGATCAAACAGATTATCAGACCACAATCTGGAAAGGACAATAGCAGAGATGTATACAAGGCATAACAAAGGCTTGGAGGCTAAAAGTGGTAGAGGACATGCTTAGCACACACAAAGTGTGAAGGCTCTGGGTGGTAGGTAGCAGGAAGGCTTCCAGGAGGAGGTGTTCTTGTACACAGGCAAAAAGAGCAAATGGTGCTCTAGGCTGAGGGCACAGCACAAGCAAAGGGCACAGCACTGGCATTCTTTTCCACTCTAGCCACATGATGATCTTGTTTCTAGGAACTGTCAGAAACTGATGATTTGAAAGGTGAGCAATATAAATACATAAGACATAGTCCTTGCTCTTGAAGGGCTTCCTCTGATGAAAGAGAAGGATGTGGCCACAGAGAATATAATAATAGTAGCTACTCCATGTGATTTGGATTATTATCCCCATTTAATTAATTTATTTATCTTGTAGTACTAGGGATTGAACCCAGGGGCATTTTGCCACTGAGCTACATTCCCAGCCCTTTTTATATTTTATTTTGAGATAGCGTGTCACTAAGTTGTGCCTAGGCTGGACTCAAACTTGTGATCCTCCTGCCTCAGCCTACTTAGAAATTGGGATTACAGGCAGGCACCACCAGGCCTCATTTATCCCCATTTTAAAGATGAAGAAACTTGTTGGAGGTTTTGCTCAGTGGTAGAACTAAGCACATATACATGAAACCCTGGGTTTAACCCTCAGCACTAAAAAATAATAATTTAACAATTAATTAAACTGGGTTTGGTAGTGCATGCTCATAAATCCCAGTAACTTGGGAGGCAGAGACAGGAGGATAGTGAGTTAAAGGCCTGCCTCAGCAATTTAGCAAGGCCTTAAGCCATTTAGCAAGATCCTGTCTTAAAAAATAAAAAGGACTGGGGATGTAGCTCAGTGGTAAAGCACCTCTGGGTTCAATCCCCAGTACCAAAATAAATAAATTTAAAACTTAATTAGGGCTAGGGTTGTGGCTCAGTAGTAGAGTGCTCGCCTTGCACGTGTGAGGCCCTGGGTTTAATCCTCAGCACCACATAAAAATAAATAAATAAATAAATAAATAAATAAAGATATTGTGTTCAACTACAACTAAAAAATAAATACAAAAAATTAATTAAAATTGAAGCACAGAAAGGAACATTCATTTCCCAAACTAGCTAGGTAGAGCAGAGCTGTTAGGTATGTGTTTATACTATGCTGTCCCCAGGTAATGGAATGCCAAGCTAATCATGAACAATAGCTACACTGTCAATTACTGAAGGAAGTCAGGGAAGTTGGGGCTTACACAGCCTAAACTTTTAGCATCAGTTATATGGGTATTGGGTAATGACCTCCCCACAGAGTTCTAGCCTCCTGGGTGTAGTACCTAGCTCAGGAGAGCTGCCTGCTAGACCTTGAGACTCTTGAGTCCAGAGGGCCTGGCTGCTTACCTGCACATTTCTCATCAACCCTGGCTTGCTGTTGCTCCTGCAGCTGCCTCTCCAGGCTGTACCTGAACTGCTCCTGCTGCATTCTCAGGTATGTGGTCCTGTCCAGGTCCTCCCCAAAGAAGCACTGCATGCTGGCCTGGCCATAGAAGGGATCACTGTCATTGAAATAGACTGGAAACTCCCTCTGGAGTCGGTCTGGATCCCAAGGGTCAGATTCACGCCTTTTCTTGAGCTGCTGCTTCTGCTTCCGAAAATCCTGGATTTTCTTGGCCAGTCGATGTGCCCGTTCTGCCTCTTCCTTCTCTAGCATCTGGGCTACCAGATCATACTGCACCTGCTTAGTATCTGGGGGTGATAGGCAGGGACATGGGAAGGCACCACAGGAGGTCCAGTTAGCATGCCTCTGCTCCCAAAGGCCATCTGGTTTGTTTCACCACCCTAGGACCTCAGGCCCTCCACACAGGAAGAACTGCCCTACCTGAGCCTACTCAGGCTCTTGGTTTGACCTGTGGCCTTGGACATTTACCATAAGCTGCATCCTTGCTCTGCTCAGTTGCCTCCCGAAGCTTTTTCTCCTCTTCCTGGTTGTTGAGGGCTTCAACATCCACCTGGATCCCAAAGAAAGGGACTAAATCAGGGCAGAGGCCCAGTAGGGTCCTTGAGTGCTCTAACAAACTGCTTAGAACCCACTTAAAAATCCTCCTGTAGCTTCTCAGGACTTACTGTATAAAGTTCCACCCATAAGCATGGCTCTTAAGTGCTTCCATGGTCTAGCCTTTGCCTCCTTCTCCAGCCTCATCTCTTTGCACCCTTTTCCCCTGTCTCCCCTCTCACTAGCCTTGGGAACTGTGCTTCCAGTTCCCTGCACATCTTAGGCAGTTTTGAATCTATAGCCTTTGCTCTGCTTCCTTTACTTAGAACACTTTCCTCCCCTCTACCCAAACTCCAATTCACACTTCAAGACCAGCTCAATCTTTGTTTCTCTGATCCTTCGGGAAGGTTCTGCTCCCATAATCTAGGACCCATTGTCTACATTACATTGAAGTTTGTTCAGTTATCTCCTCTACTAGACTGTGAGCTCTTTCATGAGAGAGACTGGGCTTTAGTTATCTTTGTATCATCACTGCCCGATAGTGCTTTTTTTTTTTTTTTTTTTTTTTTTAAGAGAGAGAAGAGAAGAGGAGAGAGAGAGAGAGAGAGAGAGAGAGAGAGAGAGAATTTTTTAATATTTATTTTTTAGTTTTCGGCGGACACAACATCTTTGTTTGTATGTGATGCTGAGGATCGAACCCGGGCCGCACGCATGCCAGGCGAGCGCGCTACCGCTTGAGCCACATCTCCAGCCCCCCTGATAGTGCTTTCAACAGAGCAGTCCCTGCGAGGAAATGCTTGTCACCTGGATCTCCATCTAACAACTCAAACGTAGCCAACTACTTACTTGTGCCAGGCACCATGCTCTAATTATCAGAGCTGCCACCTCAGTGCTTCCTTTATTTAACTGAAGAGGAGACTGGAGCTCAGAGAAAATAAGGTGACTTATCCAAAGCCACACCTCTAACAAACAGCAGACCTGGCCTCAAACAGTTAAGGTGTCTTTTCCAGAACACCATGCTGCATTTCCTCTTTCTATCCACCTAGCAATCCTTTTTTATTTCTTAAACCATCAATATTTTCTCTTTATTTTGGTTATAATTCATTGGAAACATTTAAAGTAGTACAAAAGGGAATACAGATCAGTAGAGACTAAGTATCCCTTCAGTCTCTCGCCCTCATTCTGGTTAGCAGTATATTACTTACTTTGCCAAAACGGCTTATGCATACATAATACCAAATATGCTTTAGCTCTTTTTTGGATTCACATGGCCTGCCTCTCAAGAATCAGACCACATGGCCCAGAGCTGACCAGAAAAGAGCCAACTGTCACCCCCTGTACCACCCATCCTTCCCAATCCCCTTTTGGGCCTATGGGAGTGGGTACCACCCCTTCCTCCTTCCTTTCTAGCCCTAGGGCCTGCTTGAGTCAGGAAAAGGACTATAATGGGCACTGCTGTGTTCCTTTCCAGTCATGTGAGGTAGCCCCAGTTCTGTGAAATGACTCCCACTGCCTACTCACCACCATGACTCGGTTCCGCACATTGAAGAATCGGCTTTGTCGTTCTTTTTCTCGATTTCTTCTAGCTTCAATGGCTGCCACCTCCTTGGGATCTGCTGGCAGGCCTAGCTTATACATCTGGAGTGAAGGGGAAGTGGAATGGCCCATCAGTGCTGACCACAGTCCTTGATTACATCCCACCTCCTTTCCTTTATCCCTATAGTATCTCACCAGTTATTGATTCCTACTGATTTTACTTTCTGACATATTTCATATCTGTGTCTTCGTCTCTGCTGTCACTGCCCTAATTCAGGCCTCACAGTCTCATATCAGGTGATATTCCCAGGAGTCTCCTCACTGGCCTCCCTTGTTCCATGTTATCCTCTCTGCCCTGGCCACCAGAGTGATCTTTCTGAGAGCAAATATGACCATGGTACTCTTCAGCTTAAAACCTTTGAAAATAGCTTTAAAGCTAATGGCTCCCCTGTGCTCACAAAATAAGGTCTGACCCCCTTTGCCAGATTTATAAGGGTCTTCATGATCTGAACCCTGCTCACCTTTCTAAGCCTCAAAGGCATTGACACATCTCACCCTTTCTCATACTCTACTCAGTTTTCCTCATTTCAGTAAGTGGTACTACCATTCACCAAGTTGCTCAGGCCCAAAACTCAGGGGACATCCTTTAACTCCTCCTTTCCCTCACTCCCTCTTCTTTCAAAATAGCCCTAGTCAAAGCCACGATTGTCACCTTCCTAATGACTGCAGAGGTCTCCAGATTGGTCTTCCAGTTTCCTCCATTGGTTCCTATAGCCCACTCATCACACAGCAACCAGACGTTTTCTTTACTGAAATAAATTTCCCCTTTTGTTTTTATTTTATTACTTATTTTCTAGTGAGATGAAAGTTTCAAGGTCTTAAATTCATCTGTGTCCCTTCACATTTGGGGAAACCCACTTTTGATATGTGAGCCAAAGCCATAGTTAAAAAAAAAAAAAACACAAAAACTCTTGCAAACATAAATCTGATGATGTTTCTCACCTGCTTAAAATCCTCCATAGGCTTCCCACTGCACTGAGAATCAGATCCAAATTCCTTACCATGGGCTTTCAAGATCCAATCCCTCCACACTTCTACAGTTGGTCTCATAACCCATGCTCCAGGCACACTGGCTTCCCATCAAGTATTTCAACATAACTGTTCCCACCTCTGGGCCTTTGAATGTGGTGTTCCTTTGTGTGGAGTATCTTTCCTCAACTCCTATTGAGGTCTTTTTAAAACAATCCTACATGAGGTCTTTTTTAAACAATCATTTTGTAACTGTGAAGTAGTTGATATATACAGGAAAATATATATAATCCTGATGTAAGATTGAAAGTATGACAAAATAAAGAAACCAACCCCTACCTTAAGAAATAGAGCACTATCAATACCATTGAAGTGTTCTATGTTTCTTCTTTCTTTTTCTTATTCCAACAGTACCCTATATAATATCAAAAATCTATTATCATTTCCTCCTAATATTTATTAATATACATTGTATGTGTATGAATCTCTGAAAAACATTTTTACAAGTTTTATTGGTTTTGACCTTTATAAAATATCAGGCTGTATATATTCTGAATCTTGCTTTTTCTACTTGGCATTTATCCTATCATTTAACTGTTGAGAGCCACAGCCGAATCAGCAGCAACAAATTGTATATGATCCTGGTGTATATGCACAAATTGCTGTAGATGCAATTAAGGCATGGAAGACTTTACAAGGACATGGAGGTTTACAAGGTCAATTATCTAAGGTAATACAAGGAGCTAATGAACCTTATGCTGAATTTGTAGATAGGCTTATTCAAACAGCTACCAGAGTTTTTGGGAATACAGAACAAGCAATGCCATTACTAAAACACCTGGCTTATGAGCAAGCGAATCGTTGGTGCAGAGATATCATTAGACCATGGAAACATGAAGATTTAAACACATATATTAAATTATGTAGAGACATTAATGAACAAGAGCAAGTCGTGGCAGCTGCAGTAAAACAGGCTTTAGATGCCAGAGACATTAATGAACAAGGGCAAATTGTGGCAGCTGCAGTAAAACAGGCTTTAGATGCCAGGCCAAGAACATGCTACAATTGTGAACAAACAGGACATTTTAAAAGGAAATTGCCCCATTGGAGGAGGGTTTAACAAAACTAGGTATCAAAGGAGTAGAATACCAGGTATTTGCCCACGATGCCGTAGAGGGAGACATTGGGCTAATGAATGCCGTTCTCAAACCACCATAGAGGGTACTCCATTATCAAAAAACGAACAAGGACCAGGTGTTTATCCACGATATCGTGGAGAAAGGCATCGGGCTCCATTGACAAAAAATGGACAGGGGGGCCCAAGGCTCCGGGGCCCAAAACCACAAATATACGGAGCACTGGAGGAACCCAGCAACCCCATCAGGGTAGTGCCCAGGACACATTGTCCATCAGATCCCTCATCAGACAAACCAGAGGGAGCGCAGGGTTGGACATCTGCGCCTCCGCCAGAGCAGTACTAACTCCAGAGATGGGAGTTCAAATCATTCCCACAGGGGTGAAAGGACCTCTTCCCAAAGGAACAGTAGGCTTATTATTGGGACGCAGCTCTTCTACTCTAAAAGGACTTATGATAAGTCCTGGGGTAATTGATCCCGATTATGAAGGTGAAATAAAAATTATAGCCAGTTCTCCAAAGGGTATATCAGTAATTTCACCAGGAGATAGAATAGCACAGTTACTAATAATACCCAGCCTACATGATAAATTTTCCAGTCATACTGTAGAAAGAGGTTCCAAGGGATTAGGCTCCACAGGTGTAGATTGGGCTATGCTTTCTTTAAATTTAGATTCTCGCCCCATGCTAAAACTAAATATTCAAGGACATGAATTTAATGGGCTACTGGATACAGGTGCAGACCTTAGCATCATCTCTCGTCAAGAATGGCCAAAACATTGGCCATTACAACAAGCCACTCAAACGCTTCGAGGCCTAGGAGTGGCGATTAATCCCCATAGAAGTGCAATGGTATTAGATTGGAAGGATCCTGAAGGATGTGAAGGAACTATACAGCCATATGTATTGGATCATCTTCCCGTAAATTTATGGGAACGAGATGTCCTAGATCAATTAGGTTTGACATTAACAAATAACATCAACCAAAATGCACCCACTATTATGACTAGACAAGGTTTTAGGAAAGGAAAAAGATTAGAAAAACAAGAACAAGGTATAGCAGCACCAATACAAATAGATCAAGGAACAGAAAGACATGGGTTGGATTTTCAGAAAGGGCCACTGAGACAATAAAAATTACTTGGAAATCAGAAAGACCAGTATGGGTTCCTCAGTGGCCCCTGACTAAAGAAAAGATACAAGCAGCCCATGACCGGGTCAAACAACAATTAGCGGAAGGACATATACAACCTTCTGTATCTCCCCATAATACTCCCATTTTTGTCATCAAAAAGAAATCTGGTAAATGGAGATTAGTGCAAGATTTAAGAGCCATTAATAATGAGATGGTTATTATGGGACCTGCTCAATCAGGGATTCCTCAGTTGTCTGCTTTGCCAAAAACCTGGTATGTTTTAGTTATAGATATTAAAGATTGTTTTTTTTTCAATTCCAATTCATCCTGAGGATAGTCCACGTTTTGCATTTACTATCCCTGCACTGAATCATGAAGGTCCTGATCAGAGATATGAATGGAAAGTACTCCCTCAAGGGATGGCTAACAGCCCAACTATGTGTCAAATTTATGTTAACAAAGTAATCCAGCCACTTAGAAATCAAAATCCTGAACTACAAATATTTCACTATATGGATGATGTATTATTAGCACACAAAGATAAAAACACATTGCTAGAATGTTATGCCACACTTACAAACTTATTAAAAAATTATAATCTAGAGATAGCAATAGATAAAGTACAATTAAATTTTCCAATTAATTATTTAGGAGTTCTATTATCCTCAACCATGGTCCGTCCACCAAAAATTCAAATACGAGTAGATCAACTCAAATCACTTAATGACTTTCAAAAGTTATTAGGAGACATAAATTGGATAAGGCCTTATTTAGGTATACCAACAGGAGAGTTGGGACCTTTATTTGATATCCTAAAAGGTCCATCAGATCCAAATTCACCCCGAATGTTAACGCCTGAAGCAAGAAAGGCATTAAAAATCATTGAAACATATATGGAAAATATGCATTTGGATAGAATTGATATAAGTTTGCCTTTATTATTTATTGTACTACCAACAAAAAATATTCCTACAGGAGTATTTTGGCAAGAAGGTCCATTATTATGGATACATTTATCTTATTCTCCTAACACTATTCTTACTAGGTATCCTGAGGCTGTAGGACAATTAATACTCAAAGGAATGAAAGCAGCAAAGGGAGTGTTTGGAATTTCTCCCAATAAAATTATTACTCCATATACTATGAATCAAATTGATGAGTTAGCTAATGAGTTAAATACTTGGGCAATAATCATGTGCAAATCTAATGTTTCATTTGATAACCACTTACCATCTAATCCTTTATTGTCTTTTTGGTCATTGCATCCTGTAATTTTTCCAAAAATGACAAGAAAAACACCTATCATGAATGCTCCAAATATATTCACTGATGGGTCAAATAATGGTACAGCAGCAGTAGTTACCCCTGATCAAACTTTTACATTTTTAGTACCCAAACAATCAGCTCAAAAGGTAGAGCTTAATGCAGTTTTACAAGCTTTTGTGATGTTTAAAGATTCTGTATTTAATTTATTTTCTGATAGTCAGTATGTAGTTAATGCTATAGTATCTCTTGAAGATGCTGGTAGGATTTCCCCTTCTTCTACTGTTTTCTCTTTGCTTTCCACTATACAAAGTCTAATCTGGGACAGAAAAGATCCATTCTTTATAGGACATATCAGGGCACATACAGGATTGCCTGGAGCCCTTAGTTTGGGCAATGATTTAGCAGATAAAACTACACATGACATACATATTTTTTCTACACTAGAAGAAGCTATAAATTTTCATAAAAAGTTCCATGTCAATGCTAATACTTTACAAAAGCGTTTTAAAATAACTAAGGAACAAGCTAGACAAATAATAAAACAATGTCAAAATTGTGTGACCTTTTTACCACAAGTTAATCTTGGAGTCAATCCTAGAGGATTGATACCTAACCATATTTGGCAGATGGACGTCACACACTTGCCAGAATTTGGAAAATTAAAATATTTGCATGTTACAGTTGATATTTCTTCTGGATTTTTGATGGGCTCCCTTCATGCCGGAGAAAAAACTAAAGATGTTATAGCTCATTGCTTACAAAATTTTGCCACTGTGGGTGTTCCAAAACAGTTAAAAACAGATAATGCCCCTGGTTATACTTCTACCTCTTTTAAACAATTTTGCTCAACATTTGGCATTACTCATATAACAGGAATCCCATACAATCCACAGGGACAAGGCATAGTTGAAAGAGCTCATCAAACTATTAAAATGTACTTATTAAAGCAAAAAGAAGGAATTGGGAAGGGGTATATATTCCCCAAAGATAAACTTAAAATAACCCTTTTTACTCTAAACTTTTTAAATTTGGATTCATCAGGACTTAGTGCTGCGGAAAGGCATATGTGTCCAAAAAATGTGCATAAGCCCAAGGTACTTTGGAAGGATATTCTAACAGGACAATGGAAAGGTCCTGACCCAGTAATTGTCTGGAGTCAGGGGTCTGTTTGTGTGTTTCCACAGGGAGAACAGCAGCCGATTTGGATTCCAGAGAGATTAACCAAGGTCCTGACCCAGTGATTGTCTGGAGTCGGGGGTCTGTTTATGTGTTTCCACAGGGAGAACAGCAGCCGATTTGGATTCCAGAAAGATTAACTAAAGCGATTTCTACAGACCAAAAAGAAGATGATTTGGCTCAAATCCATAACAACTGATATCCAAAACTCCAGTTTGGCTATTCTTACATCTGCAACAGAACCAGGATGCTTTTTTCAATATCTATTTTATTATTGCCCTTTGCCATATCATGAAGTTCTATTTTGTTTTTTGAGCTCATACAGACCTAGGTTAATGTTTTGCTGATCAGTTCTATTTTTTGACTATAGAGTTTTTAAACATTGCAATGGAGATTTCACCTGTAAAAAGTTATAAGGCCTTTACTATAATGTTATGTGTTGTATGTATTATATTATGTGTGCACACTTGTGTTTTGTGTTATATGTTTGAATGTACGTATGTCCATATATCATATATGATGAGCGCTCATGATAAAATGGATCCAAATATTTTTTTTCACGTGATTTATATGGTTTAATTTAAATTGGGTAAACAACTCTTGAGGATTGTTTTAATATGTAAACAAAAAAGAAGGTTAACAGATCTGTTTGTTTACTTTCACCTTTCCTTTTCATTATATTTAATAATTCTCTTAAAGATAATGTAAATTGTTAAGAAAATTGTTTTCTTTTAGTGCCTTCTGTAATGTTACATAATTTTTTCTTTAGCCATTATTGCCAGAATTCCTATCTTCATCCCAGTGCCGGTGAAGACAATGTAAATTGTTAATTGGTTCCATTGTGATATATTTAACAACTCCTCCTTAAAAAGCCATGGGCTACATTTTTGTATTGTATCAACGTATGCCCTGATTGTTCTTGATTTTACTGAGATGCCTCCTTCCTCTAACAATTTACTTAACACTCTTTCAGTTTGTTTTTTTACTAATTTCTGATCCCGTATTTCTACTATAATACAACCCAACAAGATGACGCCAAACAAAACTGAAACTGAGTGAAACAAAATTGGAACAACACAAAATCATTATAATAGCCTCCTGAAATGTCCATCCGTCCTTTCTCCCTATCTGTTCCTCAGATGTGAGCGGTTTTTCTTCCATCTTACACATCTCCAGGGACAGGCAACTTAAAACAAAAGTGAAACAAAATAACAAAAGAAGAATCTTAAAATGGCTACCCATCCTCTCGCCCTGCCCTCAGGGGCGAGCAGTTCACTTACCCTCAGTCGTTCCCCATATGGGCCACCAAATGCCACAGTCAGGCTGGGCACAATCAGGAGCCACTTGTCAAAAGAAACTAACTTTATTTTTAGAACCACACACGCCAAACAAAACAGCCTCTCAGGAAAAACCCTCAGAGCCTCAACTGCCACCACCGGCTTTCCACAAGCCTCTCTCTCCCTCACAAGCTTCTCTCCACCTCCCACAATCCTCCTGCTCTTGAGGCCGATTGGCTGGGTCACGTGGGCGGAGCCAAAAAAGTCCCCCAATGAGCAGCTCCGTGGTCTGAAAGGGCAGGGAAACAGCCCAATGAGCATCACCGCAGAGGAGCCAATCAGCTAGATGTTGCTGGGGCCGAGGAGCCAATCAGCTAGATGTTGCTGGGGCCGCTGTGAGCCAATCATCAGCCGGCAGCTGGAAGTTTGCTGGCAGCTGGAGGTTTGCTGGGGCTCCTTCGGCTGTGGCTCTCAACATTTAACAAATATTCATAGAGCGTCTACTAGTGGCCAGATGCTCTTAAGCATTTGGGAGACATGGAGGAATAAAACTGACAAAAATCTCTCATTGTGGAGGTTACTTTCTAGACAGACAATAAAAATTAAAACATAAAATGTACATTGAGTAATTTGTAAGATGATGATAAGCAATATGGAAATAGAGCAGGATATGGGGAATTGGAGGTGCCAAGGAAATGAGAGAGTGTTGCAATTTTTAAATATGGAAGTCAGGAGAAGCATAGTTGAAAAAGTAACATGAGCAAATACTTGAAGGAGGTGAGGGAATTGCCCATGCAGGTAATTCTTCAGCCTGGGTCCTGTAATGATGAAGTCTTGGAATGATGACACAGAGCAGAGATGCAGCCAGTCCACAATGAATAAGAAACTTAAGTGAGATATAAGCTTTTGTTTTTATTCTATTTGTATTTATTTATTTTTGTGGTACTGGGGATTGAACCCAGAGGCACCTCTACCATTGAACTACATCCCCAGTCCTCTTTAGTTTATTCTGAGACAGGGTCTTGCTAAGTTGCCCAGGCTAGCCTTGAACTTGTGATCCTCCTGCCTCAGCCTCCCAAGTTGCTGGATGTGTGCCACTGCACCCAGCTAAGCTTTTGCTTTTATAAGCTGCTGATATTTGGGGGTTATCTGTAACCTCAGTATAATGTAGCCTATCCTGAATGATACAAAGAAATATGGGTTTTTTTGTTTGCTTCTTTGCCGTGCTAGGGATCAAACCCAGTCTTGAGCATGCTAGGGCAAATGTTCTAGCACTGAACTGCATTCCCAGCCCTTAACACAAAGAAATGAAAAGCTATGAGACTATATGAAATCTCTAGGGAGTAAGTGTAGATGGATAAGAATGCCCCAGAGGAGACAAGGACAGGAGTGGCCAGTGAGATGGGAGATAAACTAGGAGATGTGGTCTTCCTAAAGCCAAGTAAAGAAAATGCTTTTGGAGGAGAGTGATCAATTGATGATGGATTAAGTAAAATGAGGACTGAGATTTGACTGATGTAGTAACATGAAGGTTGCTGATGACCTTGACAAGAGCATCTTTGGTGGAGTATAGGGATGAAAGCCCAATTGAAGTGGGTTCAAGAAATTAGGACCCTGCAAGACAAACAACTCAGTTAAGGATTTTTTTTTAATTGCAAGAGAAAAAGAGGAACTTAGAGATGAGAGATTTCATATGTGCAGGTGGGAAAGTTTCTCGTGCGTACGTGTGTGTGTGTGTGTGTGTGTGCGTGTATATGAGAGAGAGAGAGAGAGAAACAGGAAAGAAAGTGCTAGGTTGTAGAATGTATGCATATTTAACTTCATAGGATAATACTAAGTTAATTCCCAAGGAGATTATACCACTTTACACTATGACAATAATGTACAAAAACTCCAGTCAGTGTACATCCTAACCAACACTTGGTATTGCAGACTTAATGTTTTTTAGTTTGTGGGTATAAAACTATAATTACTGACTTTAATTGAAATTTTATTTATTGCTAATGTGGGTTTCATATCTTTTCACGTGTTTAACCATCTTTGCTTCTCTGTGAAGTGCCAATTCATATCTTTTGTTCACTTAATTTTTGCACTTTTAGAATTTATTTTTAAATGATACATAAAAATATAAAGATTATACATATTTTGGGGGTATCATGTGATGTTTTAATATAAATATACATTATCTCATGTTCAAATCAGAGTAAACATAGCTATCTTCTTAAACGTTTATCATTTCTTATGGTGAAAATATTCAAAACCCTTTCTTCTATCTTTTTGAAATATACAGTACTTTATTGTCATTTATAGGCACCATATTTTTGTTTACTTTTTTTCCACAGTCATTGTTTTTAAAAAATCAGGCCAGTGTGGTGGCACAAGCCTATAATCCCAGCAGCTTGGGAGGTGGAGGCAAAGGATCATGAGTTCAAAGCCAGCCTCAGCAATTTAGCAAAGTGTTAAGCAATTCAGTGAGACCCTGTCTCTAATAAACTACAAAATAGGGCTGCTACCTCCCCGCCCAAAACAAAATCAGGTTTGTCAGCTGGGTGTGGTGGCACACGCCTATAATCCTACTGACTCAGGAGGCTGAGGCAGGAGGATCACAAGTTCTAGGCCAGCCATGGCAGTTGAGTGAGAACCTGTCTCAAAATAAATAAAAAAGGGCTAGGGATGTAGATTCAGTGGTAGAGTGCCCTTGAATTCAATCCCCAGCACTGCAGAAATAAATAAACAACAAGCAAATAAATAAATAAATGTGGTAAATATCTCCAAATTTGTGATTTTTTTATTTGCTTATTATTTTAAAGTAATTTTTTGGGGGGGTACCAGGGATTGAACTCAGGGGCACTCGGCCACTGAGCCACATCCCCAGCCCTATTTTGTATTTTTTAATTTTAATTTAGAGACAGGGTCACACTGAGTTGCTTTGAGCCTCGACTTTGCTGAGGCTGGCTTTGAACTCATGATCCTCCTGTCTCAGCCTCCCAAGCCACTGGGAATACAGCTGTGTGCCACCAATAACAAAATGAACACTTCCATGGAACTCAGAAAATGTTATCAATATTTTAGAGGCTTTCTCTGTGTACTTACCCATCTTTTCACTTCTTTATGGTGAATATTAGTGAATGTAAATGTAGTCACGTTTACCCTTTTTTTATCCTTTGAACTTAGTGGTTATTATTTTTTAAAATTCCTTCCTATCCAGAGATCATAAAGGTATTTTCCTACATGTTCTTCTAAAATTTCTAAAGTTTTACCTTTCTCACTTGTTTTAACCCAGGGTTTGATCCCCAGCACTGAAAAAAAGAAAAAAGAAGAAAGGAACAATAATTCTCTCCTTCTCTGTGAATAATATGAAATAGCTGTCCTTGTTCATCTTATCCCCTCTGTCTGTGACTTTTTCTTCCAAGTGAACTTCATTTATGGGTCTCCTACTTGATTGTAGGATTCTCACTTTTCTGGACTTGTCCTGAGGAAGAGTCTTGTCTTTAGGACTCTTCCGAGCCTTCAGACATAATTTTAAAAATAGTTACAGGAGTGGCTACAGCAACCACCAGATCCTTTCCACATCTGAGAATGGCACCAACCCCAGCCTACCAGTTCCATCTGCCACCATAATGTAAGGTCACTGACCAGGAAGATTCAGTAGGCATTTTAAGCTTCTTGTATTGCTAAGGCCATGACCTTAGTAATGAATAGGTATAAGGTGACAGATTATAGAGGGATGAAAAGTTGGTGAGGAGGGATTGAAAAGGTGGGGAAGCTGAGTGGAGAGTGTCAGAGGTGCAGAGGAGGAAAAGGAAGGAAGGTAACAAGGGAGTGGGAAGGCAGAAGTCAGAGAACCAAGAGGAAAGAGGAAGAGGGAAAGAAAGGGAAGGTGGCAGAGGGGTATGCAGCAGTGGAAATGGCATGGGGGAGAGGCATGAAGGGAAGAAGGATGCAGGTGCAGAGCACTGCCTTAGGGACCCTGGCCTCTGGTATTTCTCAGTAAAGAATCGCAATTTTGAAGCTCCTAGTTGGATTTGGGTCCAAGTCTGCTCTTGGGTTACAGCGGCAGTTTCTGAGCTCGCTTGGAGAAACAGGAAAGAAGGACATGGGTAAATCTGAGGCCACAGCCTTCCCCAGTTTGTATCCCTGTCTCCTGGTGAACCCCGTCCCCCTTAACTCAACATCTATTTTGCAATCTCACCTCACCATCAGCGAAATCTGAGCACACCTAAACAATGAATCCTCTCACTGGCTCCTTCCTTCCCGTTCAGCCCTCTGCTCCACGGAGTCCTTCCAATTCCTGACCCTGTCGTTGTCTAAGCCTTCAGGCTTTCTAGACTAAATGAAGCCACAGCAGAATTCCCACCTTTCACTTGCCCTTGGGGGGCATAAACTTGCTGTGACTTCTGACTTGTCTCGGCAAGCGTAGGTTCAGGTCCTGCCTGCCTTCTCGGATCCCAAAAGCTGCTCTGAGTCCTCCTGGCACCAACTTCTCTACAACTTAGTCCTCTGCGGCAGCGGTTTGTGGTTGCCACGCAACAAGAAAGAGGGGCGGGCCCAAATCCTAGCTCGAGCCTGGGCAACGGATCAACAAACCTCCACGTCAGACCGAAGTTCCCGCCCCTAGTTCCCACTCGCGCAGGAAGCCGGATATCCCGTTGGCCTGGGCTTACTCTCGCGAGGTTTACCTTCCGCCCGGCCTGCACTGCGGCGTTTCCCGCGCGGGTAACCTCGGTTCCCGGGCTTACGGCGCGGCCTCTCCTACCGCCGCTGGAGCCGCCGCCGACATGGGTTTCCTGAAACTGATTGAGATCGAGAACTTTAAATCGTACAAGGGTCGACAGATTATCGGACCATTTCAGAGGTTCACCGCCATCATTGGACCCAATGGCTCTGGTGAGATAAACCCGGCTGCCGCCCTGCGCACGTCCCGGCCTGGACCCCCCTATCCGACGCCAAAGTAGTACGACCCAGCCTCTGTAACCTGAACCGTTGTGAAGCCTAAAAGGTTCCTTGCCTCTCCTGACGGGGGGAGTTCGACTCTCCCCGCTCAGGTGTTCTCACTCGAGCCTCTTCCCCAGGTGTCAGTTGCGCGAGTTTTGTGCGGCCCCCGTTCTGGTCCTAGTGGTTCAGGCCGAACTGTGTGTTTCCGCGCCCACTGCCCCCTCCCGCCAAAAGAGGCGCGTCCGGAGGCAGCTGCCAGCTGTCGGCTTCCTGCTGCGCGGCTCCCTGCTGGTCTGTCTGGTTCTAGCTTCCCAGCCCTGTTTGACCCCTCCGTGAAATGTGGGACAGCATTTCGCTCTGTCGTGTCCTGCGGTCCCATACAGTACACTTATGCTTCAACCTAGCGCCCCCTCCCGCTTCGCATTGGTACGCTCCAATTCCTTCCTTTTTACTCATCTCCAGAGGCGGCACTTTTGAATTTTGAACCCTGAGCCTGAGTCTTCAGAGGGCTTGGAGTCCCGAACCCGACCTCAGAAATTGTTGTGTAGAACATTCCTACCGGAAACCACCAAAAGCCTGGTCTTATTTGCTTATCAAATTTGTTGAATGTTTTAATGTTTATAAGTTCAAATTATGGAAATAGTGGAGAATAGAATAAACCAAGTCCATGCTTTCAGAGAACTTATATTCTAGAGGGGAAAGAAGATAAAGAATCAAGAAATAAGATAACTTTAGACTGGATAAATGTTGTGCAGGAAATGGGACAGGTTAATGTGTTGGAATGCCTTGGGTGGTGTCTTTAGAGTGGTCTGGTAAGACTTCTGTTTGGTATCTTAACTCCTCACTTTTAAATGATAACCCCTTGGATTCCTCTCACCTACCCCCAGAAGTGATCCGTTTGGAATCCTGCTGTGTTCTTATACCCCAGAAATGTAGCGAATAATTTTCTAGCCTTTCTGTGAAATAGTTTTGCCTGGATTTGACTCTGCTTAGAGCAAAGTTTCTCAACATTGGCACTTCATTAAGATAATTCTGTGCTGTGGGAATAGTCCTGTTCATTGTAGGATGTTTGACAGCATCCATGGCTTCTCTCCACTAGATGACAGCATCCCCCACTCCTCAGATATGACCGTCAAAAATGTCCTAGAGTTGGTTGGTCATGGTGGCAGATGCCCCTAATCCCAGCTACTTGGAAGGCTGAGGCAAGAGGATCACAACTTTGAGGCCAGCCTTGACAATTTTTTTTTTTTTTTTTTTTTTACTGGGGAAAGAAGATAAAGAAGAAGGAAATAAGATAACTTTTGACTGTCATAAATGTTGTGCAGGAAATGGGACAGGTAGATGTGATAGAATGACTTGGATGGAGGAGGATCACAAGTTTGAGACCAACCTCAGCAATTAATGAGGCTCTAAGCAACTTATGGAGAACCTGTCTCAAAATAAAAAGGGCTGGGGTTGTAGCTCAGTGATAAAGCACTCCTGACTGCAATCCCCAGCACCAGAAAAAAAAAATTACTTGAGACATTTTATCAGTATACAGCCCATATAATGTGTTACAGACATGCTTATGATATTGAGTGCTTGTAGAGGCTTTTGGCTGTGAGATGTTCTTGTCATCTCTAGAGATAATGGGAGAAGCCCAAAGTTGGAAGTTGGTGCCTAAAAGATTGACACCTGGTTTGCATAATGTGTCAGGTAGTCCTGCGGTGATGAGGGAGACTGAACTGAGTCCAGACTTGTGTAGGATAGATGTGTCATTTATTGAATACCTGCTGTGTGTCAAGTACTTTATTGGGGCTCTTTCCATTTATTTTAAAACAAATTTGGTGCTGGAGATTGAACCCAGGGCCTCCCTCACCATTGCTAGGCAAGCACTCTAACTACTGAGTTAAGTCCTAGGATTTTATGTGCAAATGGTGCTAGGTAAGTGCTGTACCACTGAGCTACATCCCCAGCCCTAGGGCATTTTACATTTAAATTGTCATGGTGACCCTAGGTGGGAGATATCATTTAATGGGGAGACTGAGGCACAGAGATTTAATAAATTTCCTATAGTTTTCAGCTGGGATCAGAGCCCATGCCTGCTATATTTTAAAGCATATGTTCCTGCCACTTCAACATAGAACCATGTGCCAATCATTTTTTTAAAAAACTTGTGAGTCATGGTTTTTCGTTTTTTTTTTTTCCCCAGGTGAGGGGATGGAATGTCAGCTAAAAGAGAGTGAAACTTGTGCTGAGGTATATAGCACACTAGTACAGTGCTTGCCTAGCACTTATGAGGCCCTGGGTGATACCCAGCACCACCCTGAAAAAGAAAAGAAAATGGGTGAAACTAAGATTAGAACCTTGCCTACATCTGTTGGATGAGAGCCCAAGCCTTATTTTTTTTTAAGTGCTGAGGACTGAACCTAGGGCTTCTTTCATGCCAAGTTTGCAATCTGTCACTGAGCTGTACCCCCACCCTTCCCATGGTCTTAATATTGCTTCCATGAAAGGACCATTTTTATGGTTAGGTTGAGTGGTATTGGATATTGGATATTATGTCTTCAGTTCAGTCATATAACATGTTTGTGGAGAATCTTGAGGTAGAATTTATGGGAGTTAAACTACCTCTTCACCCTCTAACCCCAATGTAAACATCTTAATTCCTTTTTTTTTTGTACTGGGAATTGAAGCCAACGGTGCTTTACCACTGAGCTACATCTCCAGTCCTTTTTAAAATTTATTTTATTTTTTATTATTTTGGTACCAGGGATTGAACTCAGGGTCATTTAACCCACATCCCCAGCCCTTTTTTGTATTCTATTTAGAGACAGGGTCTCACTGAGTTTCTTAGGGCCTCGCTAAGTTGCTGAGGCTACCTTTGAACTCACAATCCTCCTGCCTTAGCCTCCTGAGCTGCTGGGATTACAGGCGTGTGCCACCCCATGCCCAACTCTTTTTTTAATTTATTTTGAGACAGGTTGGCCTCAAACTTGTGATCTTCCTGCCTTAGCCTCCCACGCTGAGATTAGAGGTATGGATCACTATGCTTGGCAAGTTTTTATTATGAAAACCAGAAAATATATACATGTTCATTCATTCATCCGTCCTCCTTTCTTTCCTTCTCCTTTGTTTTGTAGTACTGGAGATTCAGGGGCATTCTACTACTGAGCTATATCCCAGCCCTTTTTCATTTTTGAGACAGTCTCACTAAATTGCCTAGGTTGTCCGGGAATTTGTGATCCTCCTGCCTTGGCCTCCTGAGTAGCTTGAATTATAGGCATGAGCCACCATGCTCAGCAATATATGTGTTTTGCTTAACCACT